ATATATATTATCTATAATCTCGATGTCTACACCGTTATCATTTTAAATATTATAGTACATGAAAATGAATATTCATATTCTTTAATTCCTTTTCATTTTAAAGGTTTCATAAAAATATTAATAAATAATAATTATTAAATATTAGAAAATATTGATGGTGCCGGTACCTGCTGTTGAATTTAATGTTATACCTAATAAGTTATTTTAAGTACCAACCTTATTAACTGTTGAATTTATACTATGGAAAAAATAACTTTTTGTAATAGCTGGTCATTTCTGAAAACATTTACAAGAAACCACAGTTCAAAAGAATGGCTATTACGACAAAAAACTGATCCTTATGTWGAAAAAGCCAAAATAAAAAGCTATAGGTATTGTAGATGTAATATATTTAATTATTTTTTAATTATATAATATAATATTAAATAACACACAATAGTTTAATGTAATTATTATTAACATAATGCTGAACAAAAACAATAAAATATGYATTTTACATTTTTATTACAGGTGTAGAAGTGCATTYAAACTATTGCAAATAGATGATAGATTTTCTATTTTGAAACCAGGCCAATGTGTAATAGATGTTGGTGCAGCTCCAGGTAGCTGGTCACAAGTAGCTGCATCTAGAATTAATTCAAATGCTTCTAGTAAGTTATGTTTTTAAGAATGATACTTTACTACTACAATAGTACCTAGCTCAAATTCATTTTTAAAAGTAAATACAATTTGGTTACCTACCATCAATGTTCTACTTTGTTACCATTGGAAATATATATACTAGTAAAACGTTTGTTCAATWATTTGTTTAYATAATAAAAAAATGAATTGTTCAACCATAACAATGTTCAAATTGCTGCTTAAGTTGAATCTGGGATTATAATTTGAAAATATATTTATTTTTATAAAATCAAGAATCGATTATCTTCTTGATGTTGATATTTGAACAACTCTGTACATCTGCATGATTTAATGCCATACTTGTTTTTTACACGTTTCCAAAGCAATTTGATAGGTTGTGTTTCAGTCYTATTTCCTGTAATTTTGGCTATGCGAAGTTCTCGGTCCTTTAAAAATTGTGCACATATATCTTTATTCCCAAGTAGGTGCCAGTAAAAATAACTCACGGTTAAATAACTCATTTTAAATTWAAAAAAAACTACACTTCAACTGACTTGGTATACATTAAAACATCAATTAAATTAATATTTGTTTCACATTCCTAAAACAAAATATTAGTAGTATGACATGCGTTGGCAGATAACGTTCTTTCTGTAGATAGCTGCATACTAAACAACAAAATATGTAGTAGATAGCATATTAARCAGTCGTTAAATTTTGCAGTTGTATTAAGAATACAAATGAGATAAATAATTTTCCTTTATAATGTGCTTTTGTAATTTTTACTATCACTAATTCAACTTGTTTAATTGAATCAACATGTACTTTTTGTTTATCTAATTAGATAGTGAAATTCCAACTGGCTTACTGATTGGTATTGATCTTCAACAAATGTATCCAATAAAAGGAGTAACATTATTAGGAAATTCTGATTTCACATCTCCTAAAACTTGGCAAAAAATAAAAGAATTATTAAATGGCCGACCTATAGATGTTGTTTTAAGTGATATGGCGCCTAATGCTTCAGGAGTGAAACATTTAGACCATGATTTAATCATAAAACTAGCATATTCAGTAGTTAAGTAAGTTATTGAAATATTTATTTATTATAATGATAAGAAAATGCAAAACATAAATTAAACTATACTATTAATATCTTACAGATTTGCTGTTTTAAATTCTAATATTGGTGCAACATGTTTAATTAAAATTCTGGATGGTAATCAAAATGCAGAAATTGAAAATACTTTGATAAAGTTTTATTCAAATGTAAGATTTGTTAAACCTGAAGCTAGTCGATCAGATTCAGCTGAAAAATATCTTCTTGCACGTGGATTTAAAGGACTTAAACAAAATTAATTTCTATATTGTTATAAATATGTAAATAATATATTATAATAAAAATGTTAATGTATTTAAAAATGTAATATATTTCCTTAAAAAATATTTTTAAGAGGTTTTCTCCTTGTAACATACTTAAAACATAAAATTTGTGTTCAGTAGAATCAATTTTATGTTGTGATTTAGATATTAGAGTGACTTTACCGTTGTTAAACCTAAAAGATAACAKTATCTATGCTTAAAAGTCAGCATTTTTAATTTTTAAGTGAGATTTACAAATTTTTAATTTGTCATATTTCATATACCTACTGGCTACTCATAATATCTTGTATAATAAACTAAAATRTTTAATACACGTAATGTTCTTACTTCTAAGTTTGATAATAGTTTAATTCATTCTAATATTTGCTAACAGTAAATATTGGTTCTACTAAGGCTCTATATATACGGGTATGCTCATCCGCCATTTTCTATCCAATCCTATGTTATCATAATAATCGTAATCATAATATTGTATTGTTTATATTTTCTTTWAAAACTTAAATAATGTGTWAAATTATAATTAAAATATTAAATTACAAGTCAAAGCATCAATTAAATTAATCGGACGTTTCATTTTCATTTACGTACTTTAATGATACAGGAATGTTGATTTAACAGTGATTTATAAGTTTATTTCAGGCTAATAACCTTTGCTGTAGAAGCCTTTTCTTCTCAACAAAAAAAAAAAWAATAATAAGTTTATTTAAACTAAGCAAAATATTATTTACCATTTTGTTTGAGYTTAAATTTAAGYGAAGGAGTTAGGATAGAATTGGATAGAAAATGGTGGACGAGCATACCTGTATATTTAGAACCCTAGTTCTACTAACTTCAGAGTTGATATGACTATATGAGATACATTCTATGGTTAAAATCACTGAACTAAGTAGTTCAGTGGTTAAAATAAATGTAAATTTTATTTGTCGTGGAAGAGAAATGATTGAATATTAGAAATATATRTATAGTATTGTTTATAGTATTTAATATTTCATCAATTATCATAATAATATATATGTTAAACTTGGTATTTTCATCAGGTTATTTAATATTTAAAAAAAAATATTGGGTCAACAAACATGGTATCTCATAAGTCATTCAAACTTTAACCAATAATCATAAACATGCCATAAACATAGATTTAATTTAAAGATATTTTAAGTTTAAATTTTGATGAAATTAGATATTTAAACAATGGATAACAATTTTTGTTATTTTAATTTAAGAATATTATTTGTAACTGAAAATTTTAAGCTTTAAAATTTAAAGTATATAAATACTGAGTAGAAATAAGATGTAAGTAAAAGTTAAAAAATACCTTTAGTATTATATTTTGTATAGGTATACTGCAGTAGTGCAGTCTGCAATTATATTTCAAATACAATATTTTCGGAAAAAATGAATTCAATCTACTGCATATATTACTAATTGTAAAATAAATTACTTTTAGAGCAAAATTTAATAATAATTTAATATATAAATGGRTAGGTATATAACATACATGTGTYGCGACTGTCCCGTAAGGAAATACTCATTAGCCGTAGAGAGGGACTCGCCACCCAGATAAAAACCAATTTTTCGACATTTTATCCATRAACTAAAAAAAAATTATATTTAAAAAAATAATGAAAAATGTTCTGATGAAAAATTTAAGTGTGTGGTGCATYATACAAAACATTTAAAGCCGAGCTAAGTCTCACATACACTTCTTTGTTCAGTCCTGTTTATAAGATAGTGACTGGGAGTATAATATGTCAAGTGTAAGAGCACCACACACTTTTAAATTTTTCATCAATACATTTTTCATTATTTTTTTTWAAATGTTTTTTAGAAAAGTATTTTTTTATCTACTACTTTTTAGTYAAGAGTAAATTTTTTTATTAAACGTTTAAAAAATATTTATGAAACAAAGCGTATCACTGCAGAAGCACACAATAGAAACGGGATTTTTACGGCGACGTCGTGGGGACAATCCGTTGCTATACCGGGATCTGCAGCTTGGGCTTTACAGTCTTATTCTGCTGTACCACTGCAGAATCCGTGTAGGGTGGATGCCGGGAGTTCCTCTGCAACGCTGATTTTTTTTTCGGTGAGTAATGGTTAGGTTAACCCGCCTTGACCCAGAGAAACCCTTCGTACCTTTACTTCCTCGGAGATGACTCTACACACCCCGTCATCGCCTACCTGGAGGTCCGTGTCCCAAAATGACAACGGATTATTGTATTGTCATCCAAGACCAAGGTCTATACCAATTTTCAGAATTTTTCATCGTCAAAAAGTGCCTCAAATCGAGCGCGCAAGATTTGATTACAGACAAACAGACGTGAAAGCGACCTYAAGAAAAGTGTGTAATAAAAATTATTAAAAATCAYGAGATTGAGATTAATGAAAATAAAATGTTGAAAAGTTCAACATTTTCAGCAAAATAAATTCTATAAAATAGGTATCTTTATTTTTTTCTAAACTTAAAAAATATTTTTTAACTTTTTTATCAAAAAATAAAATACATGTAGCCTTGTTCATGTGAATCTAATTAAAAAAACAGATTTATAATGTATTTATTATCCCAGGAGATATCGCATTATCGCAATGTATAAATCGTTTTTGTATGCAATGATTTTTCATTGAATTTTAAAATTGAAGTAGGTACCTATTAAGAACACCTCCACTGGCTCCACTCTATGGTGACCGTGACCTACTACTTACTATATAGAGTCATATTGTACACCAAACTACTAAAGGCAATCTACAGAGTGGTAGGTACCCACTTGCCCTATAAATAGTTTTATTCTTATTATTCAATAACAAATCCTATCAGCTCTGTTGAATACAATCATTTTTTTGTTATCAGGAACAGTAAAATTTACTTCGAACTTCGGAACTTCCGTCTTTCACAAAAAGAATAGATTTATTAAAGTATTAATATTTCATATTGAGCGATATTTATCCAATAAATAGGTACAATTCTTGTAAAACAAAAATTGAACCTATGGTTACAGACGTTACAGTCTTACAGTACACTTTAATAGTRTCTTAGCACCTTAAATGATTTAAGCATTTTAATAGCTTAAAGTTAGGTCTTACCATATCTATACTCCATGATAAGACGTATAGTCTATGATAATATTATTATCTATATTCTATAGCCGTGGACCCGTGGTTATATTTTGTATCTATTTCGTTGCTTACGTATTCGAGTAATAAGCAATTTTAGTTGGTAGCTTATCTATATTATGTAAGCACCAAGTAGCCACTATATAGTTAATATTTATTATTTTATAGGTATTAATTTGTGATTGTTTAATGATCCTAAATCTTAACACTACTATATAACAGCATTTCGACGAATGTATCCAWTGTTAAATATTATTTTAGATAGGTACCGAAACTAACAAGGATAGTTGCTATAGTTTCATATTTGTTAGATCTATGATATATTCGTTCATTACAGTGCCTACTACCTATAACTATTTAAGTAGGTAAAAATATTAATAACATTCTAGGCGCGAGGCACTTATGTTATATATTTCACTAAAAATATAGTAGTTTCCATGATATATAATTATGTCTACTTCAACATATTATACATTTTATCATCTTCCTAATAAAGATCCAGTTGGACTGAGTAACAAGATTGTTCAAGGATATCTTCTCAAGTGGTGTGTAAAATTTTAATTTAAAACATAATAATAGCATTAAGTATGTAAATTACTTAATAATTGTTACTTATGTAAATTGGTAATTACTAATTAGTAAAAATATTGATAAATGTAAAAAATAATTGAATGTATACCTACCAACTATTTAAACATTCACGATTGTCACTAC